AAATTTATATTTCAACACCCTTAGTTATGAAAACACAAGATTTTTTGCATACGTTAATTTTAGAATATTTTAGTGTTGATGTCAGTTATCAAATATGGAGTTTAGTTAAGGATTAATGTGGCGTTGGAGTCCTCAAACTCCTTCAGATGGCTGGTCTGGGGGCCTGTTGTTCTTCCCTGCACACGAAGAAATCGTAAGAGGTCGGAGTTGGATTCTCTGATTGTTGCTCCGACGATCAAGTTGGTATATGAACTTGAGTGGGAAAATGTGATAGGATGAAGAAGGTTTCAAAGTTGTGCGAAAAGACCAGAAAGCTACATTGAGCTGCATGGCTTCCCTTTATAGAGGATTAGAAGAGCAAATAGGTAACTTGAGCCGAGTTCAGGCAGGTAGCTGACTCAACAAACAGCTGACAGGTGTCGGCCGTTGACAAAGATGGGTCATCCAGGTGGTTAGTGCAAAGCGATAGCAATTGCTTGGTGCTGACGGAGGCTAATGAGTGATAAAGACTTTTGGGGTTAGAGCAATGATGACTTTGTCAGAACAATTAACGCAAGGGTAGTTGGTTGTCGACAGGGGGTTCGAGAATACACCGTCTCTCTAGTCATCCGGCTGAAGACCGATAAACACTGCCTTTTTAGTCGGCTACGCAAGTTGTTGGCTGATATAGAGGGCCGAGTGGGAGTGCTCATAGGATCGATCTAGTGGGTAAGCTGACAAGTACTACCTTTTTAGTTGGCCTCAAAAGTTCTCGACCCAGACTGGAGAGAAGAGACACCACATATTGAGAAGGGGCGACTCGGCCTGGCGAGAAGGGACGCCTTGCTCGGCCTGTCCGGGTCGTTTTGGGGTGCAGTTTGCTTGAGACATGTGTCAGTCAATTGAATATTGATCAGCACTTATTTCTATGGCACAATATTTAGTCATTAATTTTTAAATCAATTTATTATTATAATTATCGTAATTCTATTTTAAACCTACTCATATTTTATTTTGAAATAAAATTTTGATAGATTTAATAATAAATTTAAAAAATAATAAGAAATAAATTATTCTAGAATTGTCATATCAGCATCACATCAGAATTTTGATAGCATTTACATAATTGAGAGACCTGAAATGTAAAATTATAAAAACTTTAAAGTACAAGTGCTGTTAAAAACATACGAGGGTATGCAAGTGCAAAGTAGGGAAAACTATAGGGTATGTGAGTGAAACTAAGCTAAAAAAAATTCTACAAATTTGTCCTGGAATTATACAACAATGTTCAAACTTAAGAGGATGGTTGAGGAGGATAGTTGAGGGTGTACCTGTTTGAATCTGAGAACAGGATCAGATCGGATATTTCGAAGATCTATGGATTGATAGGTAGAACTGTGTTTGGGGCCCACTACCGATCTGAATAGTGGTTTTGCAGATTAGTTCTTATAACTTTGGGTGTTGCAATCCTCATGCTATAACCTTTTCAATTGCATGTAAAATCTTTAAATTGAACAAAAACTAAATTATGTGCAACTATAGAGTTTTTTTTCCAATATCTGTGCCTTATAATAATTCTTTGAAGTATGACCTTTTTTCAATATGATATTTTTTTATGTCAATTGCAATATTAAGATATTAATATCAAAATTAATACCAATAAAGTTGTTTTTTATACTACTAAATATACCACTTTTATTAATTTATTATAAAAAATACCAAATTAATGTTAACCATTGATATTAATATTATAATCATAAGTGAAAGAAAATAAAAATATCATATTGAATATATGGTCCTACTAAAACTACCAATATGATAATTTCACAAAAAATAAATAAAAAAAAATAAAAATAAAAACCAATCTGATGATTTAGCCTATATTATTTTGAAATTATCCTCTCAAATAACTCTCCTATAAAAATGATAGTTTTAAATTTTAGAACGCCAAAACCTACGGGTTTTATGTGAAATTTACCCTACCAAAAGTAAAATCCATCCACACCCTTAATTTAAACTTCAAATTAGTTAAAGCTCTAACTCTGATATCTAATTTTTAATAATTCATGTATTATACATCATTGATATAAGTCATTTGTATGCTCATATCCATAAAAAAATGGAGCTTATATATAAAAAAAGAGAAAAGCTTAATCAACAAAAAAATCAGCTTAATACAATTTAAATACACACAGATATGACCAAAAAAGAAACCCGTAGATACCAAACAAATCAGATATAGAAAAAAGTATTAGACCCATAGTCTTCCAATCTATTGGTAAGGGTTCGATTCCGTGTGACTCGCTCCATATTCCTTATTCTAATTGTAAGACCCACCAATGTGAGCATAGGCAGACAAAATACTTATTTTTGTTAAGGATAGTAATATGTTAGTATAGTCCCACAATGGATAGGTTACGAAAAAGTTGTGAGTTTGAAAATAGGAGCTGAAACTAATACCTAGAAGCTATAGTTTTCGGATTAAACTTGGTTCCTAACTTTTATATAATGTTCATCAACTCTACATTTGGTCCGATTTCTTCCCTAACAAAAGTGTCAGAGCTAAGGTTATAATTCGCGAATGCTCATAAGAGTGATATAGTCTAGTTAACCACCATGAGTGAAGCAGTTGAGAACCCACAGATACATATAGGAGTGATATAGTCTGGTTAGCCACCATGAGTAAAGTGGTGAAATATCATATGGATGTTTGATAGTCATATGCTGAATGCATGTTCTAGTTAGCCCACGAGTGAATTTGTGCAAAAGTTAATGAATCCCGTGGAAGATTAAAGTGTAATTGAAGATTGAACTGCATTCACAAATTAAGAGGAAGTTATCGCGGTTATTGACATATGAGTATAGTCCCACGCTAGATAGGTTAAGAAAGAGTTACGGGTCTAAAAATAGGAGTTAAGATCAATCCATTGAAATTATAGTTTTTAGTTAAAACTGATTTTTTAACTTCTATTTAAAGTCTATTAACTCTAGATTTGGTTTGATTTCTCCCAAGTAATTTTTAGTAATATAAAAACAGTCTAAAGTATCGTAGAAATATCCATCCAACAGTACATTGTATTATTATATAACTGCAAAAAGGGAGAGGATGGGTAAGTGCAAAGTTACATTAGGTATTTAAGTATTCCCCATGCTCGCGTGGAGGACGAAAAAAATTCGCGTGCCGGTGTGGGGATGGGATCTGAGCGATCGCTGATGTTCATTTGACGCTAGACGATAATAATGAATTATTACTGTTCACGTGGGCCATCCTCCACTATTCTTTACAGGGTCCGGGATCCTAATGTCCAGATTCCTGGAACCACTAATTTACAAAGGTGCAATTTTCGGTCAATATAAATTGGCTTAGACACCTACTTCTACTTTGCACTTTTACACCCTCATTTATTTTTAGCAACACTTAAATATTCTAAAGTTTAAAATTTAGACTTAATACCAATTTATGTTAATGTGAGAATTTCTCCTCAAACTTTTCTCACGTTTTAGTTTAGAGCTTTTTAATCTTTATTTTTTGTTAATTTACTATTAAAACTATGGTGATTTTGTTTTAAATCTATCCTAGTTCAAAAATAGGATTTTTATAGGTTAACAGTAAAATAAGTAAATATTAAAAAGTTAACATATTCCAAAATTAGCATGTCAATGTCATATGAAAAAATTTCAGGAGGAGATTCTATCGTTTGCATGACTGAGGGTAGTTAAGGGAAAATTTAAAAAAACTTTAGGGTTACCAACAACAAGGGAGTACACATAAATGCATAATATGTGAAACTATAGGTTATTTAAGTACAATTAAGCCAAATAAATTTGTCCTCCGTATACGTCTTGGGGTTATGTGACGTGTTCAATCTTAAGAGGATAGTTGAGAGTGTTGCTGTTTGCAGCTGAGAAGAAGATCAGATGAGAGATTCCGAAGCTCTAGGCGACACAGATTGTATTAATAGGCAGGATTGTGTGTGGGCCCCACCGATCCACCACCGATCTGTATAGCGGTTTTGCAGACTAGTTCTTATGCACTTTTGAGTGTTGCAATTCTGATCCTATAACTTTTAAAATTGCATATAGTACCTTTTAGGAGAACGAAAACTAAAATGGCTTGATTGCAATTAAATGCCCTATCGTTTGAACTATGTTTGCGATTGTATATCTTCATTTATTTTTGGTAACATTTATATAACCTAAAACCTTTTAAAACTTTCACTTATATATACTCACTTGCTTATGACAACACTTATATAATGAAAACTTGCACTAAAATATCTATTTAAAAATTGCATGTAAACCCTAAAATTTTTAAAACCTGCACTTAAATTCCCTAAAATATGCATAAATGAGGATACGAATTTTAGGATATTTAAGTGTAAATTGTAAAAATTTTAGGTATAAAAGTGCCGTCGAAACAAGTGAGGATATATAAGTGTAAAATTGGTGAAACTTTGGGGTATTTAAGTTCCATTAAGCCAAACTAAATTATGCGTAACTATAGAGTTTTCGCTGATATTGGTACATTATTTAAAGGCTACAAATTGGCATCTTTAGTACCATCTTCTTTTTTCAATATGATATTTCCTCTTTTCACTTGTGATATTATGTTATTAATATCAAAATCAATATCATTTGGTTTCTTATGTTACTAAATATGTCTGATTATGTTTTCTAATAAAATAATACCAAATTGACATTAAAAATTAATATTAACACCATAATATTACAAAATGAAAGAAAAAAATAACATTTTGAAAATACGGTCCTACACAAAATAGCAATCTGATAATTTATCCTGTCTTTAATATTTAGAAATTAGCGTTCCAAATCATTCTCCGATAAAACGTGATATTTTTAAACTTCAGAATGCCAAATCATAGGGGGTTTTATGTGAAAATTACCCTACCATAACTAAAATTCAGAGTAGACCCAATAAACTGAAAACTAAATCATTCACAGGGCCCAAAGTGTAAACATCCTTCTCCTATAAAAACCTAGCCGCAGTCGTTGCCTGCTCCACCAGCCTGCCGTGTTTCTTTTGGCATCTCGGTCCGCAAGTTCGACCCTCGACTTCCGTTCTCTTCTATCTCAATCTTACTTAAAGAAAAAGATTAAAATAGAAAATAAAAAGAATCAAATTTGCCCTAGAATTCTCAAACCCTAGCTCTCCAATCTCAAGGTAATCCCGTCAAAAATCTCACCTTTATCCGTTCCCAAGTCTCAATTCACATCTAATCTCAGCAAAATTCTCTCTTTATTCAGCGACTTGGGGGTTGGGAACTGATGGCACTCATTTCCCAGTTACAACCCTACCAATCTAATTATTTGCAGTTGGAATGCAATTCTATTGTAAGAGAGAGCTCCAAGGGTTTCCCTTCTTCCTCCTCTTTGCTGGGTTTGAATGTGGAGAGAAGGCCGAGGAGCTTAGGGCAAAGGATGGTGGTTTCGGCGAGCCCGCCGACGGAGGATGCGGTGGTGATGACGCAGCCTTTGACAAAGCAGGATCTTGTTGCGTATTTGGCTTCTGGGTGCAAGACCAAGGAGAAATGGAGGTTTGTACTCCTCAGTTAGTTCAATTTGGATTTGGTTTATCTTGTTTGAGGTTGATGTAAATATTGTAACTTAGTGTATATTTAGTATTTTAGCTTGTCTGATAATGTTTGCGGCATGTAGATAAATATGGATGCAGACATATGACTAGTTACAGGCAAAATAATATTTTTGGGTAAGTTGCATATAACCACCCTCACACATACTTTCAGTAGCACTTATCACCTCACTATTTTACCCCTCAATTGATAAAGGGAGAGGGATATCTGCAAATTATTTCTCAAAATGCCAATTATTTCTCAAAATGCCAATTTAGGGGTGTTAAGTGCCAGTTAAATAGTTGAAGGGTGACAAGTGCTACTGAAGACATAGATGAGAGGGTTTATTTTCAATTTAACTAATAATTTTTTTTCGAAAAGGTGAATGCTTGATTGATGTAGGATAAACATTAATTCGGTGAAGTAATTAAGATAGTCTGTATCTGGACAAGAATGAGGGTCTACAGATTTATATTGATGTGTGGACATCATTGAAAATGAAATATGGTCTTAGTAATTTCTGTTGATAAACTCACAAATAAAGACATGGTTAAGTTTCTTGACTTTCACACTTACATCTTATTCCTATTGATGTCTCTTCACTTCTATGCTCGTTATTGACATGTTTAGATGAGAGTGAGTTTGTCAGAAGATGGATTTATATGTCATATTAGAGATTAAGGGCTCAGAGAGATTGAGCAAAAACCTGTAGCTTTTCCCCCTCTTTGTATGTTGTGAAATCAGGGAAAGGTTGGTATATAAGGTCGAATATCCTATTACAAACTTCTCCACAACATTTATGTGGAGTCAAGTTTATTGCAGTAGTGAATTCTGATTGATCGTGTCATATTCTGATATATACTTTCTTAATTGTTTCTTTTTCGTGAAGCTTTTTCCTGATTGACATTCTTCGTCAATAATGAGACAATTAATTGTGCTAATTGACCGGGATCCTGACTGATTGTAGACCATATTCTGATGGATAGTGTTTTCTGTATCTTTGTGGTGAAATTAGTTCCTTGTTCATATTCTTCATCTATTCAACGTCAATCAATGGCACAAGTGATTTAATGCCAGTCAATTATTCCTACGTCTTCTATGTATGTGGAAAACCAAGGAAAGGCTGATATAAGGTAATAGGGACTGAAATGTGACAGGTTGCAGACCATATCCTGATGGATCAGTTGTGTTTTTCCTAGTTGGTGAAATTAGTTTCTTAATTATAACCTTCATAAATTTAGTTTGACTCAGTTGCACTAACTGCGAACATATCTTCCTAGCTTCTACAATATTTTTTCTTTTGACCGTCTTTAGAGGTTATAGTTCCTTGGAACTTGGCCCTTCATTGCTTATCCAAACAGTAATATCTGTTGCCTGTTTGATCCACACGGATGCTCCCATCCGGCTGCTCACTTTTCTCAAGTTTAGGAGTTAATATTAAGTTTAACTTACATTCCTACTATTAAGTTTAACTTACATTCATACTAGTCTGAGGCTCTGGGCTACTGTTTGTACTTTTTTTTCGGAATTTTCAAAATATTACTAATGTTTCATGTATATTCTCTTTGTTTACTTATTCGAGTCTTGATCTTTCAAAATTAAATATGAGGCACACCTCTGAGTCTCAGCTGTGAATTAGTGCCCATATTTCTATCTCAAATTTTCTGTACATATACATAAAGGGCTTTAAGGGGAATGCCTGATACATAGTAGTTTGAACTGACTTTATACGTCACAACTTTCTGCTTTTCGGTTTGAATAAAAAAAGAAGCCATTCATAAGATTATTCATGTGCTTCCTAGGTAGTTCTTAGCTGGGAGTTCTCTTCCCCCTCAGAGCAAAAAGTTAATTGATCTGCTAGTTGTCTGTCGTGATTTACTTTATAACAAACACATTACACAATTGGTCAAAATGTTTGAATTTACTTGTTCAGTTAAACTAAGATCAAATTCCCTTCGGTTTTCCCTCGTAGTAGAATTCAAGTCAAGCAGCGTCGCGTGGGAAAGAGTTTTCTTGCTACATGAAAGTGTAAGACAAAGGAAACATGCAGAAAGAGCCATTCACATATTCACTGATTTCTTCTTCATGCCACTGTTTCTATGCTAGGGTCAAACATTATTCCTTTACCTGCTTTCCACAATTTGAACTTTGCTGTTAGTTTACCTTATAGAGATCGTATATAGTGCATAACTTAAGCGTTTTCTCCAGATTTTGGTTTCCTTTGTTTACCTACTGGAAATTTTTAATGCTCCCTCGAAATGAATTATTGTGTATGCGTGCATGACCTTCTGTTTATGTATTATCTTTACAGAATGTCTATGTAATATACAGATGAGCTGACAAGGACACTTTGTGTTCTTACTGGGTTTAATTGTTTATATTGTTCTCTTAGTAATGTATTCTGCTCTTGATGTTGAGACTGTTCTATCTGCTGGCATATTTGAGTGTATATGCTTACTGTTCAGCTGGTTTGTGTCTCTTTTGATTTTCATTAACAGGATAGGTACCGAACATGAAAAATTCGGTTTCGAATTTGGAACCTTGCGGCCTATGAAATATGAGCAGATTGCAGATTTGCTCAATGGTCTTGCTGAGCGATTTGACTGGGAGAAAATACTAGAAGGAGATTATGTCATTGGACTCAAGCAGGTGAATGCAATCCCTGGTGTGGCATGCTCATTGTGGAGCTTACTTTGTTAAGTTCATGCTCTTAGCATGTCGTGGATGTTTATTTATCGTAAATTCTCATTTATTCACAACATGGTTGACCAGAAGGCCTTGTTATTAACTGTCATAAGTCCTGAAAACCTATTTTGTTACCCCGCCTACCATCAGATACCTTCTTAGATCTAAGACCATTTCTGTTCTTTTGTGGCTATAATTGACCTAGTTGTTGTACGGACATCAATGCCATTCTTTAAAGTGGCAACTTATTAGACCTGAGCTTAATTGGTAAAAATCTCATCCCGTGCTCTTGCGTAATTAGTAAAAGTTGAATAACAAGCCAATCCCCATCAATATATCTGGCATGATTAAGCCATAAAAAGACATTACGTGAGCATTCATGCACACTCGCATACACGTTAACGGACAGTAAAAGATATTGATAAGGCAAGGTTCAGTTGTTCCTTCAAATGAAACTACTAAGAAGATATGAACTTGAAATTTGATAGGAAAATTTCAAGCTTATGCTAGCTTGAACATGAACTTCTGTGCCCTTTCTCGTTTGGAATATATTTGAATGATTGTAGGTACAACCTAATATTTTTCTGAATTTTGAAGACCTGGAGCATTGCTTTTATGTTCTGACCAAGTTTGAAGAAGTGATATTCTCTGGTAAAAGCTTTAGCTATCCTGGAGCATTTCCATTCCAAGCCAACCAGGGCATGTACCGGTCAACTGAGTGAATGTTGTTTGAAACATTACATGCATTGACATGTGATGGTCTTTATCACGCATATGGTGTCATCTCTATTGTTACATAATTTTGTTATGTATGTTATGAAACATTTAAGCCTGATTCAAGGAAACATTGCTAGTCTAGATATTACCGTCTATACCTACCAGAGAAAAGAAGAAGAAGATTTTCCTATGATAATTGATACATGCCAACACAACTTCCTCTTGCATTCACTTAGAATATTCACTTAGATTTGTTTCTTGCTCTAGTTTCATACAGTTATTTTTATTTTTTATTTTTTATTTCAGGGAAAGCAAAGCATTTCATTGGAACCTGGTGGCCAATTTGAGCTTAGTGGAGCACCCTTGGAAACGCTGCATCAGACCTGTGCTGAGGTTAATTCACACCTTTATCAGGTCAGTGTCATTGTTATATGCGTCTACATGTCACGAGTACTTATTCTGTTGTTCTTTTATTGTTGGTCAGAGTTCAGGTGTCGTTCCTGGATCTTGACCCGTACTCCTTGTTAATCAAGATAGTGTCTTTGCATATGTGATGTCTTCTAACACCTGCAGATTTTCTCTGGATTCTAAAATTTATACTTTGGACATACTGTTATCTGATCCTACTGTGCTTTATGAAATGCATGTGAACATATCTGTAGAATGAAGGTCTTGTACCGAATGAAGGTCTTGTACCTTCAAGTTTATCATCAATTATGTAGCTTTTTTTATTTCCTAATGCGCTACTGTTTGTTGATAGGTAAAAGCTGTGGCAGAGGAAATGGGAATTGGCTTCTTGGGAATTGGTTTTCAGCCAAAATGGGGGCTGAAGGATATCCCTATAATGCCGAAGGTGTGTCTTCATCTTTTTAATCTATCTTTGGTGTCAGCAGTTATTTGATAGACCTTCAGAGAAACACCTATAAACATAAATGACTGCATTTGTTTTGCTTCTTTTTATGTATGCAAAGTTGCAAACTACTGTCTTTTTTTGTTTGCTTGTTTTTCAAGAGTTTCACAGATCCTTTACGTTATTATTTTAGTTTTCAAATTTTTTTGATTCTCCAATTTTTTTCTAGTTTTATTTTTTTCAATGTGGTTTTTAGTTTCATGGTCTATTTTGGATTGATTCCTCACCTGTATGAATAAATACTTCATTTCTCTGCTTCCAAATAAATTTCTGTTTTCTCTGAGTAGATCAACCAAAGTGGTTTTTTCTACAGGGAAGGTACGAGATTATGAGGAACTACATGCCAAAAGTGGGTTCTATGGGACTCGATATGATGTTCCGAACTTGTACTGTTCAGGTAGGATACTTTATTATTTAATGTTTTCTTATGTGCTAATGGCCACTGCTATTTTGGTATCATAAAGCTAAAGATTTACAGTTATGTTTCCCAATTATTAATTTATTATTATTAATCAATGTCTGTCAACAATAATTTGTACCTGCTCGTGTTAATAGGTTAATCTAGACTTCAGTTCTGAATTGGACATGATTAGGAAATTCCGTGCTGGTCTTGCTCTACAGCCTGTGAGTATATATAGTGCATCTTTCACTGCTTTCAAGTTATTCTTCTCTGTTAAATGAATAACTGACACTTGAAACAGATTGCGACTGCAATATTTGCAAATTCACCTTTTACTGAAGGAAAACCAAATGGCTATCTTAGCAAGCGGAGGTTTGTGCCTATTTCTATGCAGTAGTACGTCATGTATGTACTCATTTATCTCTCTTGGTTGTTTCCTAATGTGTGGTCATCTTCTGCAGTCACATTTGGACCGATACTGATAACAACCGTGCTGGCATGCTTCCTTTTGTGTTTGATGATTCATTCGGGTAAGATTTTATTTCCTTATCTTTAGTTTATCCTAGAGTTCCGATCATGTTTTCTGATGATGTGGAGAAGTGCACATATGACTTAACTTTTGTCTGTCTGCATACAACACCCTGTATGAAATTGGTAGTCCCAGCCATAAATTTTCTGGAGATTTAGTAATGGATTTTTACTTACTATGGCAATAGTATAGCTGGAAGCTATTTAAGTTCTGTTATCGTCTTTGTAACCATTTAGTGATGGCTGATATCATGCATTCAGAAGTTTCTATGTCTAGTGGAAGTGACACTGAAATGGCATGATGTCCCTAGCGGAAGAGGATGAGGTACCCATAAATTGGATTGTTAGAATTTTATACTTAGCTCATTTAAGCAAACTATATTTGTCTAAGACGTGTTGTAGTTGTGACGTATGCCTTCCAGTATTAGTTTCATCAGGTAACTTCTAACTAAACAAAGGGGGAAAAAACTGGATAATTATCTTCACATCTTTTACTTAAGTGATAGAAGGTAATGTACCCTGGGGATGAAGGGAATACTTCATTTCATGTTCTCTCTAGATTCCTTAGTCTAGTAGATAAATGGATAGTGTATCCTAATTTTATTAGCTTAAACTACTTGAATGATAATTTTGTTCGTCATAATTTTCCAACAACCAGTGGGTATTTGAGATGATCAATCCTAGACTCTTCCAAAAATATGGTATGGAGTTTGATTCCTAACAAATTCTCCTTTTACTCCTTTCTCTTCTAGCTAGTAACTTTGTTGATAGTACTTAATTTTAATAAATTTATTTTATTTTGTTTGCTAAGGATACCATAACATGCTAGTTTTATGATTATGCCTCTGTCCCTTGTCTTTCAGGTTTGAACAATATGTGGATTATGCACTAGATGTTCCTATGTACTTTGTGTATCGGAACAAGAGATATATTGATTGCACTGGACTGTCCTTTCGGGTCTTAATCTATCCTTCATCTCTTTATTGACTTTTAGTCTGTCATTTTTTCTCTTTAACATTTTTGCAGAAAGAGTTCATTTTCTTCTTGTGTAATGCCGGAATTGTTCATGCAGGATTTTTTGGCTGGAAAGCTTCCTCCTATTCCTGGAGAGCTACCAACATTAAATGATTGGGAAAATCACCTGACAACAATTTTTCCAGAGGTTCTGTGACTTGAGATAATCTTCTCCAAAGCATTAAGATGTTTACATCATTTCTTATTGTTACCTTGGGGTGGTGAACATTCTGCCTTTTTGCAGGTCAGGTTAAAAAGATACTTGGAAATGAGGGGTGCAGATGGAGGTCCTTGGAGAAGACTCTGTGCTTTACCAGCTTTTTGGGTAATGTTTTTTTTCCTATTATGAGAAATGATGTGCTGAAATTTATTTATTTGCTGCTGTTGGACCAATGGTGCATTATAGTAGTTGTAGTGGTGCTTGCTTTAGTGTACCATAAAACTAGTTTTAATGTCACCTGATCTAACTTGTTGTCCTTGTGTTTATATTGTTGCAGGTTGGCTTGTTGTATGATGAGGTAGCATTACAAAATGTTCTAGACATGACTGCTGACTGGACAAAAGAAGAAAGGGAGATGTTGAGGAGAAAGGTTTAAATTTTTATATTTTAACCTATTGCTTGAGATTGCACACAACTTACTACTGTCTGATTTATGTGGGCGCCTTTATATTTGATATGTTTGTGCTATACGCGTTGAATGTCTTCAGTTATTGAGAAATTGATCATTAGAGTCTCAACAGGTACCAGTGACTGGCTTAAAGACGCCATTTCGGGATGGCTTGTTAAGACATGTTGCTGAAGATGTTCTAAAGCTGGCTAAGTGGCTTAAAGACGCCATTTCGGGATGGCTTGTTAAGACATGTTGCTGAAGATGTTCTAAAGCTGGCTAAGGTTGATCAACTGACATTTCCTGGCTTGTTAAGACATGTTGCTGAAGATGTTCTAAAGCTGGCTAAGGTTGATCAACTGACATTTCCAATGGCTTGCTATATGCCCATAATTAAAATTTCAAAGTGTGACTTTTAAATGCTTTAAACTATTTTTTAGGATGGCTTGGAAAGAAGAGGTTACAAAGAAGCTGGATTTCTGAGAGAAGTGGCTGAGGTGGTTAAGTCAGGTAAGAACAGTTACCAATTCTGTTGTCTGGATGACTTAAATGTGATTTTTTATGGCATTGATGATGCTTGATACTGAATTAGGAAAAGGAAAAGTCATGAATGAACTTACACTTTGCCAGTAGATTGGCAACTACTTAGCAAGATGAAAATAAAAAAATAGAGATAAGTTATTGTCCTACGATGCAGAGGATTAATTAGGAGGAGAAGCATGATGGGTTATATGAAAATGCCAATAGAAATAAGATATTGACTTGCAAAAGAAGAGGAACTTTTGGAAAAAAATAATTAAAAGTTATTTACTTCTTCAAAGCACCAATAGATACAAGTTATTGACTTGCTATGCAAAAGAAGAGAACTAATAATGATAAGGGGGAAAAAGGATGTTACTGTAATTTTATTTCCTCGTGGTTTGCTGCCATGGCAGTTGTCATAGGAATACATGTCAAAAACCGTTGCTAGATGTAGTGTGGATGCTCCTGGACTAGAACTGTTTGGGTTACTGCTGGATAGGATTAGATATTAGCTCAAACTAAGAAAGAGTGCTAGGCGCTTGAAATCTGTGTCAACATCCATAGGTATATGTCGATGCACATTATTTCCATTTTATGCATGTTTATCGTACTGCCAACATCCATGTACCCATGTGCCGATAGCCGCTTATGCATCAAGCAGGACTTTGAGTAAATTATCCTATATTATTTCTCGTGACAATTTCTCACTGTTAGGCCTTGTAGTCTCTCTTTCACTGGTGCGGATATGTTAGGAAGTTAAGCCGGATACTATTGTATTAAATTGTCAATGAAGGCCTTTTATAAATAATGGTTTTTCATTTGCTCCGCTCTGTTAATGAGCTGCAGCATTGAATATATTACTAATTATAAATTGGCCGAACAAATTTGAGTTTGTTCTACGGCTTCATGACTAATACTCGTGCCTATTTGAGGGTTTTTTTTTTCTGTCTGTAATTTTTCCAAATGTTAGTCTCAACTCCTATGACCTCCATTTTGAAATTAGGACATGCATAACCTCTGCTGAGGGCAGTGATACTCGAGATTCTTGCATTGTTTTCAGCCTTTATTGAACTCTGTTGATATTTTAAATTCATGGTCAATGATATCCAAGTCATCTTATGGCAGGAATCACTCCGGCTGAGAAACTCTTAGAACTGTACCATGGGAAATGGGGAGGTAGCGTAGACCCAGTTTTTGAGGAGTTGCTATACTAAGCTACATATGATCATTTGCCCTTCGGTTTGGGCGAGTACAAGGCGAAGTCCCCTTCAATTTGGTTTGATGGGAGCTAGAGTATTGCGGTCTATGTATCTAATAAGTACAAGCGCTTGTTATATACATGTGTTGTAATCTATTAGAGAAGCCGTTCACCATGTTATATTATGATGCGTTGTGAGTTGTATGTTTTAAAGTTTGCCCTCGAGTCAGAGGACACCCCTCTAATTCAAATGGTAGTTCGCCGAAACTGGGGCAGTTGTAATAGATGATTCTTGGATAATCAAAATAACCGAGCCTTGTCTGGATTTCCGACTTGAATATGGATAGGATTCGGTGATAAATCACAGACTAAATGAGGTGGTTGCTTTTATATCCGACTCGAGTAAAAGATGTAATCTGTGCAGGCAAAGGGCTTGGCATACTTGTGGATTCATTTGCGAATGCATTGAGAGACTTTATCAGCTGGAGATGTCATGAAGTGTTGTGAAAGAAAATAAGTGCCACAAACGGCAAACAATAGATATACCCTCTTGGTTGTTCAAGTCGAGTTGCCATCTTCGTAACGCATCGTTTGGTCCTCTGAATTGAGTTTCTTGGATCCATTCTGAAAGATGTGTTGGCAACTTGCAAATTTTACGGCCCAGAATGAAGTTTTAGTCTACAAGGCTATTGTGCCCGTACCTGTTGAAGTTGACATTCAATCAATCAGTCTCTTTGAAAAGAGATTTGCCTACGCACAAAATGCCGAACTTGATGCCGGATCACATTATAGGGGCTAGAAAACAAAGCACTACAAAAGGTTGAAGTTGACAACAGGATACAAATTGTGGGTTCGTCAACAGAAAATATTTTGTTGTTTTGGGGCTCGTCTGGCAACCCACTAAAAACTCACCTATGATTGATACTGACTTAGTGCTGGTATATTTTATATCAAGAGATTTATGTGGTTCTTCTATTAATAAATATAAAAAAAAAATAATCAAAAAAGAGGTCTTGGTGTATTTTAGATAAGTTAATTCAAGAAAAATTCCCCAAGGATCCAAAATATGGGACCAACAGAGGAGACAGATGAGGTGTCCTCCTCCTATTGCATAGTGAGCTGTCCATCATTAATAATCATCATCATTAATAATGGTCAGCTCATTATGCAATAGGAGAGGGACACCTCACCTGTCCCCCCTGTTGGTCTTATATTTTGGGTCCCTGTAGCAAATCTCTTAATTCAACAAGGGAGGCGCTACAGGCACACCACCAACCACACTCACCCTCTTGCTACAGTGCAGCGGCCCCACATGTGATTTTTTTAAGAAAAATCACATGTGCACTGTAGCGAAGGGGGAGTGTGGTTGGTGGTGTGCCTAAGGATGTGCCTCTATCATTTTTCATTCAACAACCCACCGATATGTGTCAGGACTAAACTTTTTAATATATTTTGTGTCCGGGGGGGACAAGTTCAATTCTGGCGAAACGGGTCCACCTCCTCCAATCAATTGGGCTTGTTAAAGAAGAAGGCCTAGTTGGTAGGAGGAAATAATTTTAATAGGAACACTGACATTTTTTACATCGCGTATTCTCTTCAAGCTCCAAACCATAGGACAATTCTCATTGTCCTGAATCTTTTTCCCTTCATTTATTGTGTTCTAATTGAATTATTATTTATTGATGATAAGCTGTGAGTATATACATTATACATTAATTTATGATATCTTGAAGTTTAAGTTTCTTGGTACACCCTTCACTTCAATTAAAAATTTTCTTCCCGAACTTTTAATTGTTTTCCCCCTTCTCTCTAAAGGGTCATAGATCATATAGGAGGCTCACTTAGACGGCCTAAAATCTTTATTCAATTAAAAATAAAAAAAACAAGGGAATTGGACAAAAAATTATCTAAAACCAGCGACGAATGAAGGAGGCCGAACGAAATTTGTCTTTTTAATATTGAAGTGCTTATGAAACATAGTTTTCTGTGGGCATGCTATGCAAATTATATTTCGTGTGGGCTTTTCTGCTAACCTTTTCCTCTTCTCCTTTCGCTGTTTGTAATTTCGGATTATGTGAGGGGTAATTCTGTATTTACGCAAACCTTACGTCCCAAATTGCTAGTCCCCCTCCCTCGACACTTGGTTGCTTCAAAATTCTCCACTCCAAATTATTGAAACGCTTTCACTATCAGTTTCGTCCCAGTATAAAACCCTGAAACCCGTAAAAATTTAACCTTTATTTGATCTCTGAACTCCCAAACATCAGCAATGGCCACCTTGAATTCCTCTCTACCAAACTCCATCTCACCATCAGCCGATCTCCGTCGCCGATTCAAGCGCAAAATCTCATCTTGTTTGGTTTCGGAGAAATCCCAAGAGAAAACTTCAAGCCCTTCAATTTCCTGGAAAGCTAAAGAGATTATAGAAATGGAAGCGAAGTACTTAGTGGGGACTTACGCTAGGGCTCCAGTTGCAATTGAGAGGGGAAATGGTTGTAGGGTTTATGATGCTGATGGGAGAGAGTATTTGGATATGGCGGCTGGAATCGCGGTGAATTCGCTAGGGCATTGTGATCCTGATTTGGTGAAGGTTTTGGTTGAGCAGGGGAGCAATCTTTGGCATGTTAGTAATGCATATTATTCGTTGCCGCAGGTGAGGTTTCGTGGGCTGTTTCTTGATTGCATTCCAACTGTTTGATGAAGTGCTGCATTTGTGGTAAGAGAGTGTTTTTTTTATTATTTTTACCAACATGAGCTAAGGAGTAGAAAACACAATATGAATTAGTTATATGTAATTATTTTGATAAAATGGGAAAGTGATGAATTTGGTTCGTTATAGTAGAGCTCAGTTCTAAAGTTACTAACATAGGCTTGTCCTATGTGGTGCCGTGGTTTATGAATTATTTCTTGCTTGCTGTATAAGAGCTTGATGAGTGGGTGTTTATTCCATATAGTTAAGGTTTCACCTTAAAAGATGGTTTAGTCTATGGCATTAGCCATCTGATGTGATTTTCTTAGTTTTGCTCAAATTGTGTTGTGACATTTGCTTTTGCAAATTATACTCCATAGAGTTGGAATTCCTTGTTATCACACAAGGTTGTGGAAAAGCGGACCAAAGTCGTGAGACATCGCTTAAGACTTTTTGGGGCTTAAGCGGATGAAAGCAGAAAAAACGCCAATTAAAAACGTGGTCCAATCTAAATATGAATAAATATTCCAAAAGAAGAAAAGAAAAAGAAAAATTCAAGAAAAAACTAAAACTTCTACAAATGCATATTTGATGATTTATAAAGATCCTGAGCATGAAATAGACGAGTAACAATCTCACAACATTAACGAAGTACTGGCGCTTCATTGAGGCGATGGTCTGAAGCTTTGCTGAGGATATTGCTGGAACTTGCTGGAGATGGTGAGAGGAGCTCAAGAGAGGCAATGTAGGATGGTGAGAGGCGGCAAGAGAAGATGCTGGAGGCGGTGGAGGAGGGGGGAGAAGCTCCTGGAGGTGGAATTGAGGGAAGGAGGTGGCACATTTGGCGGCAGGAGGTGGTGTGAGTTCTTTAAGAGTTTTCTTTTGGATTCATTGCAGAGAAAGAGAAGGAGGGGAGGGGTTTTAATTATTAATAATGGGTCCAGGTTGGGTTGGGTGCAAAATTGAGACCTGTTCATCATCGTCTTCATTTTAATTAAGCTTTTCTAAAGTGTTTTTAATGCTTTTCATCGATTTTCACTGCTTTTCGCGCCTTACAAAAGCGCCACTGGTGCTCTATTATATACCACCGTTTTGAGGCAAAGTGAACTGGCCAAGAGCTTCTTTCGCTTTATACTACCGCTTTTTGCCGCTTTTTTCAACAATGCTATTATGTTTTTTTTCCTGTTGGCGTCATTTATAAACAATGGATTAGTTTGTTAATAAGGTCCCGTTATTTGCTTATTTTACTTGACGTTACTCTCTGTTTGATTCATCTGTAAAATTTGTTTATGAGTCGTGTTGTGTGAAACAAGAAAGATAGTAAGAAATTTTAACTAGCAACAACTCTATCAACCATAGTTGAAAAAAACCCGTTATAGCCCGTCCTGTAACTTAACGGTGCCATCTTGTTATGTAACACACCCATTTAACGCTGAAACTATTTAACCCATAAAAAACACGTTATATTGCGTTAAACGTGTGTTACGTTATATAACTAGTTAACATGGATTTTTAGGTTAAATTGCATCTCTAATTAGGACGAGTGGATGCATCTCCATCATCAAAATTATTTAAACCCTACCCCTTTTAGTCGTGGTCACCCTATTCTCTTCCTCCAAATATGCGATCTCTTCGCCTCCTCTAACCCAAACCTTAACCCCTTGTGTCCTCTAAAGCTCCATTGGTTATCCACGACTTATGCGGCTCCGGTGAGGATTTTTTTATTTTTTAGTTATGTATTGAGCTTCTCAGATTATATCCTTTAAATAAATAGTGATTTTAAAATTCTCTTCCACATTCCTATATTTCCTATTGCTAACTTACCCTAAATCATATCAAACTTGTTGCTCCATTACTTTACCATTCAACATAACTTTTAAGATCTACAACAGAACTAGAATACAATGATTAATTAGTGGGTTAATTATGTTGGTAAGATAATTACTTTCAGTTATTTCTTGATTTTGATTAGGTTTTAATTTTTAGTTTTTAGCTAATATTAAATTTTGTGAAATTAAGTTTGCATATAATCTTTGTATATAATTTCTTACTATTGTTACATAGTCATGTTTACTTTGTTTGATTTAGTGAACTTGATTAGGAATTAGAATATTTTTGTAAAGTTAAGAACTTGAGAGTTGGAAGTGTTTGGTTTATTTTAGACTTATTTTTATTGCCTTAAACTTGACAACGTTAATGTATTTGATCATTTGATGACGCTTTTTAGGATGGTTGTTAGTCATATATAGCTAACTTTTATCAAGAATTTGTGATACTATATTTTTATATTGATAATTATGATGTTATATTTAAAAGGTTTGATGATTGTAAGTATTAAAGTTATTATCAATTGTTAGTATTTATAAAATATCTAAATAATTAATGAACAATATAACATACGTTATATGTTACGTTTTTTTGCGTTTTTTCCCTTAACCTTTAACAGGAGGTCAAGCGTTGCATAACTCATTTTCGTTATTTCCAACATTAAATCAACATTGGTCACTATTTTGATGTCTTCTAGATTCTTGCACCTTCACCTTTTAGACGATGCATCAGAAGGGGTTTATACAAATTAATCCTTCTATAAGAAAAGAAACCACATTAGTGACTAGTGTGTCATATTAATTTGCCTGTAAGGCCCTGTTTGGAAAATAGTTAAGAATGAAAGATATAAGGCCCTGTATGGAAAATAATTAAGAATGAAAGATAGCAAAAAGTTAGTTAATCTATCTTGAATTAAGAATATTAAGTTAATAAACCCGAATATTAAGTTAATAAACCCCATGAAATGAGGATTATACTACTTATGCCCCCACTTTTATGTGTGTATGAAGAGTAATTATTATCATCACTTTCTTTATAAGTAGGAGGTTATTTTATAACCTTTCTAAGAGGTAGATTAGTAAATCCCTTATTTTTAAGGGACTAAGGGCCAGTCTGGTATTGTTTAAACTTATAATAAGTTGCTTATAAAAGCAGCTTATAGAGTAAATTATATAAACTACTGAAAATAATATTTTGGTAATCAAATACCAAAAACTGATTAACAGCTAAGGTGTTAGGTAGAATTGTGCTTAATGATTATTGTTAAAAGATAAAAGATATGTCTGGTATATAAACTAAAAAAAGTAATAGCTGCTTTTAAAAGCATTATCAATTTGCTTTTAAAAGTACCCCCTTAAAAACAGAAGCAGTTTCAATAAGCATGCCAAAAAAGTTTTCACCAAACACTATTATTGGGTGCTTCTTGAAAAAATAAGCAGAAGCACCCTAAAAAAAAGCAATATCAAATTGTCCCTAAATCATTTAATGCATCTAGATGGATTATCTTTAATCATTGTCATTTGTCATGTCTTGTAGACTGAGACGAGTTAAGCTGGCAAGTAAGTTGGGTTAATATTTCTCAACCAATCACTGAACTCGCTGCTAAACAGGGCCTAAGAGGTTCTCTTCATATTGTGATACCGAAGGTTGTAGATTTATACTAACAATTTGCATTGATTTTATTTACCTATAAATTCTCCTTAGGAGTTTTTTAAAAGAGGTTTTTTTTGCTAAATAATTAGCAAAACCTACCGTTTTGCTAATTATTTAGTAAAATCAATCTTTTAGGCCAACAAGCCAAAAAGAGGCCGGTTTCGCAGAGATGAGGTTCTGAAACATACGAGCTAAATTGAACTCAAAAAACTCATGGGACTATTAGTCCCGTGGGTTTTCTGAACTCCCAAACAAAACGCACAGGACTACTAGTCCCGTGCGTTAAGTAGAGACTCCGACGACATGCGCGGTTAGCAATTCCACAGGACTAGTAGTCCTGTGGATTTGTCAGGCTTATATAGGCCTAACTGTGCCCAAAAATTAGGACACATCCTCTTCTCTTTATCCCTCCTGATCTCTCACCTCTCCAAACTCAATTTTCATCCACCCTCTCCCAATCTCTCTCCCCCAATCTCTCACTCAATAACCCCACTCCATTTATTCTCTCTAAATCACCTCTCTCCCTTAAATTTCTCTCTTATTGTCATCAAAACCACCATTCTCTCCAAACCCAAATAGAGATCTCCCGTAAAGTTCACTCCAACATTGTTAAAGTCCGACGCCATCTATCCTCACCTGCGCCGACGAATTTAAGATCTTCATCAAGGTATAAATTTTAATTTTTTCCTAAATTTCTCTCTATTATTTAGTTAAAATTGTAGTTTGAAAATAACTGTATATTTAGAATAATTTTTTTAATTATGATAAACAATGGAATTTGGTTAAATTGTGATAGATTAAATTTTCATAGATTAAAATTAGTTACATTAAAATTTGATAAATAATTTACATACGATAAATGTTAATGTTTCAGATCGAATGGTGAATGGAATACCGATTATTTGCTTATTCAATGGGAAACTGAGTGTTAGAATGAATAATATGCCTATATACGAGGGAGGATCTAAAAAAAATATTCATGTTATCTAGAAATCGCAACTTCAATGAAATGATGGAGCAAATATATAGAGTTATTAGAGCTAATTATGGAGAGTATTCCACTAAGGTCTTCTGTAACCGTCCGATAAATAAAAAAAGCAATTACTATAGAGATCACCAATGATCAAGAACCGAGTGACATGATACAATTTGCGAAAAATCAAATCTCAATCAAATTGTTCATTAAAAATATTTTAATATTCAGTGTTGCCCAAGTTTCATATGCTCCTGGAGAGTTCTCCCGCATGCTTGACATAGAAAATAACTCGAGCGAATTCATTTCATCTCTAAGTGCCTTACACTTAGAAAATGACTTGGGTACAATGTGGAATTACTCCATTTAATGACAATGAATGAGAGGTTAAATATTGTGAAGGTACTTACACCGTCTATCTCTATAACCAAGAGCGCGGTTGTACTTGTAATATACCATAATTATAAAAATTACCATGTGGACATGTTTTAACGGCTAGTTCCAATCAGGATGGTGACGCTAGATTGCCTTATGATCGGTATTGCTCAGTTTAGTATTCAACAAATCATTATCAAAAGGCTTATAATGAGAGTTTTCATCCTCCCGACGATAGTCGCTATTGGCCGGTTTATAATGAACCATGTATATTATCACCTCAATACAAAATACAAGTGAGACGACCTCGCTCCGTGCACATTAGACGTACCATGGACCAAGGTCGGGAAGGAATCACGAATTAAATGTGGACAATGTAATCAATTAGGTCATAACATGTCTACCAAGCAATGTATATAAAGCAATATAATTTTGTGCATGTTTGTGGTGTGCCCAGCAAATTCACGGGACTACTAGTCCCACAGCAAATTCACGGGACTACTAGTCCCGCAGCAAATCTACGGGACTACTAGTCCCATGGATTTGCTGGGCGACATGACCTAGGTCTTTGCTTAACGCATGAGACTAGTAGTCCCGTGCGTTTTGTTTGGCAGTTCAGCAAACCCACGGGACTTGTAGTCCCGTGGGTTTTGTGAGCTCAGATTAGTGGCCAATTAGTGGTCACTAAACACACCGTATGTTTCACAAGCCCGTCTCTGCGAAACTGACCTCTCTTTGGCTTGTTGGCCAAATAGAGGTTGGTTTTGCTAGATAATTAGCAAAACGGTTTGCTAATTATTTAGCAAAAAAGACCTCTTTTGAAAAAAACTCCATTCTCCATATTGTTGCCCAATATTTTGATCATCTGGTAGATTAGTTTTCCTATGAGATAACTTCCCTCAACACCAAAAATGACGAGGATTTGATAAGCAAGCTACTTCTTTAGAGTACCTATTATCCTCTTTTTTAAATGAACAACAATATTCTACTTTTTACATCTTTTGCTTTGATTGTAGCATTTTTCTTGATTTGCTTTTCAATAGAAAGTGGACCTGAAGATCAAAATGTTATAGATCCATGTTCCATTGTCCCTGCTCCCCTGAGTATTGCAACTTTAACATTGGAGATCCTTTCCTTTTTCCCTTTAGTTCCACTTGTCGTCCTAACTGATCCTAGCTTTAACTTTAAGTAGATATGTTCTATACATGCAGGTGGAACTTGCAAAACGCCTTGTAGAGTGCTCTTTTTCAGACCGTGTTTTCTTCACAAACTCTGGAACAGAAGCAAATGAAGCAGCTATAAAGTTTGCAAGGAAGTTTCAAAGGCACTTAATTGCCGGTGGAGAAGAACCTGCCACAGAGTTCATTTCCTTTAGTAATAGCTTCCATGGCAGAACAATTGGTTCTGTTGCTCTAACAAGTAAAGAGCATTACAGGATACCCTTTGAACCTGTCATGCCTGGAGTCACATTTTTAGAATATGGGGATATTGAAGCAGCCATGAAAACAATAGTATCTGGCAAGACTGCTGCAGTTTTTGTGGAACCTATTCAAGGAGAAGGCGGGATATATAGTGCAACAAAAGATTTCTTGCAGGCACTCCGTACCGCTTGTGATGATAATGGAGCTCTCTTAATTTTTGATGAGGTATGCCCCATTAAGGTTTTGTAGTTGCAAATTGGTTGCCCTTCGTTATGCTTATTCATATGACTAAATCATGCTGACATTCTCTCTTTGCATATTTACTGCTTCTATGCCCTTTATCTACTTTTAACTCTCTATATTTGGTGGTTTCTTATCTACTTTGTAGTGCACTGGTTTTCTCAAACCAAATGTTAATACTACACAGTCTAAAGCTGTTTACAAATGATAGAATTTGGTTCTAGAGCACTGATCAATTTTCTTTTTATCTGTTTATACTTGTTCAAATAACTTCTAAAGATATGTGCAGAAATAGAAAGGTTTTTTCTCAGTAAAACTATAATTCTCTAATCTATTCTAAACTATAATTTTCTAATCTATTCCCTGATAAACCCTATTACTGTTATACATAGAATAATTCCTTAATCTTTGGAACCTCTGCACTTTAATAAGAATTGTCTTGAAAATTGAAACCTAATAAAGTCAAATCCTTTGCTATTAGATTTTAAGCAAATAAATGATCTATAAAATCTTAAATGAGGACAACCTCTCTTCCTTTTCTATTAAAACTTTTTAAAAAAATGGAAGAGTCAAGGTAATCTCGTCTCGATTTATATAGGGATAGTTGGATTCCAATCAAATTATTATGATTGGGATCCTAAAAGAAATTAACATATGAATAGCTAGGATCAGTTCGGAAAGCAGTAGGATGTAACATTTTGTCCATGAAACTCAAAAGACTGAATTATAGCAATAGAGCTGATATATGTCTAGACAAATTAAGGTCTAATCTGGTGTTCAACCCTTTGATCCAATGTTAAATGCGGGTAGTGGACCATAGTGGGAGGGGACTCCTAATTACTAAGCGATTAGACTGCTAAAGCTGGATGGATATTGTTTGATAAACAAATGCATATAATTAACATGTATATCCATGATGAATATCATTTATCCTGTTGTATTTGTTACATTACTTCAAATCTTTTATCTGTCTATTATTTGGTAACTACATATTTTAAGGACCAAAGTGCTCTTTTCTCCTGAATCTCCAGGTTCAATGCGGATTAGGCCGAACTGGTCATCTTTGGGCCCATGAGGCATATGGCATTATACCTGATATAATGACTCTTGCCAAGCCCCTTGCTGGAGGTTTACCCATAGGTGCATGCCTTACCACCGAAAGAGTTGCTGAAGCTATGAACTTGGGAGACCATGGAAGCACTTTTGCAGGCAGTCCTCTTGTGTGCAAAGTAGCTCTCAAGGTGCTCAATAAAATCCAAGATCCAAACTTTCTAGCAAATGTAGCAAGAAAAGGCTTTTACTTGAAAGAATTATTGAATCAGGCGTTGGGAGATAATCCCCATGTTAAAGAGGTTCGAGGATTAGGGTTGATTGTAGGGATTGAGCTCGACGTTTCTGCAACTCCATTGGTTAATGCTTGTAGGCAATCTGGGCTTTTGGTTCTGACTGCTGGAAAGGGGAATGTGATTCGACTGGTTCCACCATTGATCATATCAGAGGAGGAGCTCGAATATGCTGCTGAAGTTTTTAAGAAATGCATGCCTGCACTTGATGCTGCCAGTGTATAGACTAAAGTTAATTGCATTCTTTTCTGTATCCCTGTACCAAGTATTGCTGGAAATGTATGTTTTACGTTTGTAAATTAACCTTTAGTGGAATACTATACGACGCGAGGTTATTCTGAACTTATGATTTTGTTAGAACTTCATATGATGATTGGGTCTGATATCAGATATGGTGATTGGTTGGGTCATTTCTAGCGAGTTTTTTCCCCTCTGGATAAGCTTGATATTAAGAGATGCAATTGGGATGAATAATATAATGAGATGTAGTTGCAGCCCACTTGGAGATTTATGTATGTTGCAGTGCCGACATCCAGTTTTCTTTAAGTTGTGTGTTATTTAGTTGCACACGTTTTGAGTCTTGAAAAACCCTAGACAAAGATGAGACCAACCATGTGTCTGCAATTATCAGTTAGGAATGTCTTTATTTTTTTTAGAAGAGGTGAATTATCTGTATTTTTTAAATTAATTACGCAAGCTTGGTACGGTTGATGCGTGTACGTACTCCATTTTCCAGGCTTTTCTCCTGTATTTTAGGAATCTTGCATTGATGGTCTGCCCTCCTTATCAGAGCTTCTCTCTTTTCTCCTTTGTCTTTCTTTTTTTTTTCCTTCCTTTTTTTAAGAATTTGGTCTTCTCAGGCTTATTATAGCCTTATTCCCCCCCATATAATGCGCTTTGGTGAGGCCATAAAATAACTAGAGTTCCATTATGTTGGAGTAAGTAGAGGGCAAGACAAGAAGACGTAGCCAAAAGATCAGCCCTCAAGGTGCCAAAAGATGAACTGTAAAATACTCAATTCATCACTGAACAACTTTTTCAAGAAGGTAGCTCAAGTACTCATACCATCACTCTTTCTCACTTTATGCCTTCACCTCATGCCCAAGAATTGGAGAAAGTCATGGATGTTCTAAAGAAGGAATAGAAGGAGAAATATGAGGAAAAGTTTCGGCTCGTTGCTCCTTTCAAGAAAAGTATGGAACTCGTTTTGTTCTTTTATCATAAAAGTCATGTTCTTACTCAACTTGCAAAAAGGTGGGATAAAAATAGAACATTGTGAAGTTTGAGCCAAACTAGCATAAAGTTTCAAGCCAGGCCCACTCTTTGTTCTGTTGAGAATGGAGTAAATATTTTTGGGTGTTTTGATTTGCCCATAACTTACTCCCTAGCATTAGCACATGGTTAGATTGGTTAATTTCCATGGATAAGGTCATGTCTATCAACGTAATTGATACTAGTCTATAGGTCTAAGATATATATTTGAATCACCGAGTATTTTCACTCCGATAATTGAGCATACTCAGAAAAAAGATAGCCCAGTGCACGAAGCTCCCGCTGTGTATATAGTCACTACTCGTTTATAGTCCGGGAATGGATGGGAACACTTTGAATAGTTCACTTTTGGAATGTTGAGTATAAAGAAGGGAATTGTTTTATACTTTCTCTCATCCTCAATATATGTAAAGAATAAAGAAGATTTCATGTAGAAGCTAATGTAACAACTAAAAATTCTGTCAGAATTGGAGGCTTGACTTGCAGTATACCCTTCTCTTCATCACAAAGGCAAAGTATCAAAATCTTCATTATGCCTCAAAAAGAATCCAGATCCTAATTAATTTACAAAAAACAGCAAACTCATGGATGCAACTTGAAGGAGTGGGCTCTCTCCATCTCACACTACAGTCCACACATTTCCATAATACAATTTCTCTGCTCATTATATATACACGCACACATTCCCTCTTCCTTCCTCATTCCATATGCCTTTCCCCAATTTCTCTCTCTATCACCAAAGAAAAGAATCAATTACTCCATTACAATCCTGCATTAAGATTTTAGAGTTCATCCACACAATAAACACAAACCCAAAAAAACCTACCGCCACCTTTACACGTGATTTCTCCAGCTCACACTCAAATGTACAAGCCTTGCACACAACAAATTTGAACTAGTACAAGTACAAAGTAAACAGCATTGTCTCTTCACAAAAATTTAAACGACTCCTCCTCCTCTTTATTACTTGAAATGGGTCTTTCAGGCCCTTCCATACTTCTTCTATGCTTGATTCTTCTTCAAGCTATGGCAGGCTCTTTAGCGGTCATTGTAGGATTGAGAAGGCGCAATGGTAATATGCAAAGAAGGCGGCCAGGGTTTGAAGGTTATCAACCAGTATGTGATATTTTCAGCGGAAGTTGGGTACAAGATGACACATATCCATTGTATCAATATTCAAATTGTCCCATTATCGATCCTGAATTCAATTGTCAGTTGTTTGGACGACCCGATTCAAATTATCTTCATTATCGATGGAAGCCTACAGACTGTGAACTCCCAAGGTTTGTCTTTTTTCTGAATTTGCCTCAGTTTGTTCTCGTATTTAGTTTTATGAACATGGTATATGATATATCAATGTTTTACTAGGTTCAATGCACTTGATTTCTTGATGAGAATGAGGGGAAAGACTGTTATGTTTGTAGGTGACTCGCTTGGTCGAAACCAATGGGAGTCTCTGATATGCATGGTTCATTCAGCAGTGCCTCTTTCCCCTACTCAGTTCATTAGAGGAGATCCTCTATATAGTTATAAATTCTTGGTATAATTTTATTTATTCGGGACCAATATTGGTTGTGAAATATAAGCTTTGCACTAGCTTGAACCCCCCCCCCCCCCCCCCCCCCCCTTTCTTTTTTTTTGGTTGGTTATGCCAGGAGTATGGTGTGTCTATTTCTTTCTACAAGGCTCCTTATCTTGTAGATGTAGATGTGCTTCAAGGAAAAAGGATACTGAGACTAGATAAAATCTCTGAAAATAGTAATGCATGGCTTGAGGCTGATATCTTGTCTTTTAATTCTGGTCATTGGTGGACTCATAAAGGATCTCTGCAAGGGTATGCATTCTCAAAATCCAAAAAGAAATCATGATTATTTTCTTTAATTTTCTAATGAATACTGTTTTATTGGTAAATATGTGGAGTTAGCTTTGGTTACCTAATTACGGGCCATAAAGCGCATACCGCTTTTATTTGGTGTTCTTTGTTGGTGAATAGCAAGTATTTGAAGAAACTAATTGTGAGGGTTTCTGTAGGTGGGATTATATGGGAGATGGAGGAGCATATTACACGGATATGGACAGATTGGTTGCTTTTAGTAAGGGGTTGAGCACATGGGCTAATTGGGTGGACCTCTATGTTGACAGAACCAGGACTAGGGTCTTCTTCCAGTCCATTTCTCCTACCCACTACGAGTAATCCTCTCTCTATCTACACATTCATACGCATACATAAACCAATTGTGTATACACGTACATATACGCACATAAGAAAAATGTATATGACCTGACAGTTCATTATGTGGATGAGCGGCCAAGGGATAGTGCCCGACTAGTCACATCAGAACAGACATGCCTCACAACTCTATCTCTTGACAGCTCATTTTGTAGAATGAACTGTCATCTCATACCCATCGCATATGTATATATTCATGCCTATGGGAGGTAAGAATATGTTATCGGAGTCTCACTCATCCATTCACGTTACACGGGTTGCTAATATTTGGCAAGGACATTACACATCCTAGAAATTCCCCAAATACTATAAATACAAACGGATGTACTTTCAACCTTAAAAGCAAATGATATGGCTCACTTTCTAAAGCCCTTTAAACAACTACAGTCAAACATGGTAACTTTAAGAATCTACGTTATTTTTTAGCGAGATGAACATCAAAGACAATTCAGTAGCAATTTGGACCAATCAAAGAGTTTGAATGACAAGACAGAGAGATGTATAAATGGTACCAGACCTCAATAGGTTTTCCTTTGAGCCATTTTCATTTCAAGCTTGTAAGTGAATCCATCTTCTTTGTGGTCCAGCGCCATAAAGACCTGATTTTTCCATGCCAAAGACAATCAAATTATTCATGGCCGTCTTTTTAGGTCTTCTAGAGGAACCAATGAAGCCATTATTGATGGCTACACCAACTATTACTACTAGAATTTAATGGGAATAATGCTCTAATATATCTTATTGACATCTAACACAGTAAGACTGCTTTTAACCAAATCACACTGCCCTCAATATTATACTGTGAGGATGAATATACATGCATCAGGGTTATAATTGAAAGCTCAATTTTGTCAAAACAGAAAAAAGTGGATATGGGTCTCTGTTAATGTTTCATCCTCCCCAATACGTAGCCATCTAACTAACAAAATCCAGAAAAACACCACTTTGTAAATTAATGTGTACAGTGAGATAAATTATTTGCAGGGGACATCCTTTTTTTCATGTACATAAATTTAGAGGGGTTGTCGCAATCATTGTTAGCCACTGCGAGCTACGTAACTTGACAAGCAATACATATGTTTTGCTGGTCCAAGTTGTATATATATCCACAGCAATTATAAAAACGAAACATTTCTAATTCCAGACATGGAAACATGGGATGTCTCTCAATGGAGACTTGAGGGAGAAGCCTTGGAGCAAAAAGGAATATCGACATGTTGTCAGCAAAATCAAACCTAGAAATTCTCGATACCGAAGCCTAAAAAGGGTTTTTTTTTCCTGAAAACCACCTTAAAAATAGGATCATTTTAGAAAAACCATTTTTTACTTTCAATTTATACAGGAACCATCTTTAAAGTGAGTTTGTGTTCCAATCCACCACCTCCTAGCCAAATCTTCATAAAAAACCAAAATTAACCTTAAAAATGAACGTTTAAAGTACATGTTTTATCCTAACTATACTAGAACATTAACAAAGTGAGTCACGTGTCTTGAATGTGAATTTTCAGGGTATTTTTTGGTTTCAGTGAAAATTTTAATTTGGAGGTGGTTGATTGAAATAAGAACATGCTTTAAATATGGTTTACGTATAAATTAAAAATAAAAGGTGATTTCCATTAAATACCCTTTTTTAAGGTGGTTTGTAGGGGGAAAAACTCACAAAAGCAAAACACATCGCATATAAATTTTACCAAAATATGTATAATAAAAACTTGAACACGTAAATCCAGCATATATAATAGCATTAAAATATAAAAATTACATTGGCAAATCTTCCTAAAACCATTGCAATATGCATGCAGAAATAGAACAATAGATAGATCCCAGATAAAATCTTTTCCTAAGTATGTATATACTGCCACCCTCTGAATATCTCTCACTAGCATTAAAAAGTACAAAGTTCCTACATACGAACACATTAAAGCTCAACAATATTTGTAGTCTAAATAAAAGATGGTGAAATTTTAAATAACTACCATGAACCTGAGATGTTTCGTAAAATTACCAGGAAACTCTTTCGTTTCGCATAACTATAAAATTCAAGGCAATTTTCTGGACAAATATGTAAAAGTTAAGAAAACTACATATAGTTTTGTAAGAAGCAGTCCAAACTAATAATAGATTATATAAATTTAGCAGAAAATTTTCAGAGATACTTAAGATGGTGTATCATGATCTGTTCTCTGTTGCTTGCACCAAGAAGAAACTTGGTATGATAGAGTTCAGCATTCATTGTTAAATTAAAATAACATGCAAGCATGTATCCATGATATAAATGCAGTTGATCTTCATGATCAGTGGAAGTGGTTGAATCTGACGTGGATGCAGCACTCATTTTGAGTGTATTGTACTTTATTGAGTCTGGGTCCACTCTGCTCCCTTCAATCATCATCAAGTTCCATTGATTTGATTCACCAACTGTTGACTAGTCTGATGTAATGAGGTTCGGGGGAAAGTTAGTCCTTCAGAATTAGGTTTGGACTGGAGATCACTCTTTGATAGGATAAAAGATAATAGATTTATTCATCAGAACAATTGTACATCCACTACAGAATCTGCAGGATGAATTATTTGGGATCATTAGAAATCATTATCTCAACACAAGCAAACAAATATGCATTGATTCAGTACGATTAGTGGAATTCATCTCCATTCAGTCAATTGGTTATTCTGTCAATCTGAACATTTGTACGTCCAAGTTGGAAGTGAATGATGGAAAATAACAGCACACAGAAGACAGTGTACCTAGCATGCATTCTTTTGGTACCAGATTTACCTGATATACAATGTAATCAAGCAGCTAGAGGAAAGGACCGCACGAGAATATACTAAATAAAAATAAACATGTCAAATGATTATAAGTGTTAATTGCGGATCGACAGGGGGTCTACCACAACTAACCATAATAATAGATGTCATCATGGCGACACTTACGACAATGATTAATGAAAAATTCCTTTTTCTGTGCTTGTACGTACGTCGCAGTCCTATGGAATGGAGAGACCCGGTATCAAAGAATTGCTACGGAGAAACTATGCCTGTTAGTGGAGGAAACTACAGCGGGATTTATCCAGACCAAATGGGTATAATTAGCGGTGTAATCAGGTTGATGACATATCCTGCTTATTTGCTGGACATTACTACCCTTTCGCAGCTCAGAAAAGACTGCCATCCTTCAATATATAGCGGAGACCTTACTCCTCAACAAAGAGCTAGCCCAGATCACTCTGCAGATTGTAGCCATTGGTGCCTTCCAGGACTTCCTGATACCTGGAACCAGCTTTTATATACTGCCCTCTTCTTCTAACCTGAAGTTTTTATCTTGAATTCGTACAATTTCATAATTAGTTGTTGTATTGATTATTCTTCCTTTCCCGTAATTCCTTTTGTAACCAAGTGCAACTAGTGGGCGGGAAATAGATACAAATTAATGTGTAACAGCTTCGTTGGTTTTGAGATGTATTAATTGTGAGAATTTTGATGTTATATATGAAAGTAATTGATGGTTTACATCTAGAGTAAAGTTCCTGAAGGTACTTACTGAACAAGCTTAACTTAGATGGAAGATGATGAAATTTTTTGGAGGGTCAACGGAAACAAGGTTGGAGTCCTGGTGTGCGTTTTTAGAGCCTACGTGCGGAAAATAAATGATCATGAATAGAATGTTGCGTGTCAAAATTATACAGCGGTATGAGAAATGGACTGAATTGCAATATGAATTAGAGCAACAAATAGGTTTCAGTTTCTGGTAAAATCTGGAAGTTCTCCAGGTGAGACGATTCGAAATCCCTACTAATTAATAAAGGTCTCGACTCTATTAAGAGGAGGAGAGAAGTTCTTCACATCTACATCGATGCCTAAAATTTAAAATACAGTGAAATAAGACCATTTTTGACTGAAAACACCTATGATTTGGGCAGTACCTAGCATGTTGGATAAACCAAGAAGTCGTTAGATAGGAATTTTTTTACTGAAGATGCTCCAGATGTACATTTAGAGTAAAAAAATCTAGCATAACTAGCATAATGGAACTGCACGTAGTTTACTACTTAGTAAAATTTTCCTATCTAATGATTTTCCCGATAGTAGATCATCCATTTTGTAGATTGAAGTATGATTTGTAGTTTAATATTTCTTACATTTTGTAGATAGTAGATCATCCATAAACTTAAGGATAGAGCCCTGATGAAAAAGGTCAGCGTCTTGATGCAGAGTAAGACGATAAAGTGAAAGTAACTTTCAAGGAGGATGTACAACCACCAAGAACAGGACCAAAACAGTATCATGATATAACAGTAAGAAAAAAGTCACTGAAAAAGTTCCTTACTATCTGATTCATTGATGGGATTTTGAAATTCTGCTTTGTAGTTTTCTTAATATGGAAACTTTTGTTGCGCACGAGAAGTGAAAGGAAAAATGGTTTCCATAGAAATAGTAGCTCTTGCCTTTTTATCTCTTCATACTGGATTTCTCCTGCTCCTCTGCCTCCTCGTGTGTATATTCTTTATTTATTTCTTTCTAGTTAATAAATTCCCCAAGCATCTTGCCTGATTACTCGGAGAATATGGAAATATTAACACCACTTGTTTAGTCAGAAAATGAAGGATTAGAGGTTTACAATTCGTCAAACCACAATGTATCACCGAATACAGGGAATGCACGAAGGTGCATTGGCGCTTAGGTGCATTTTAATCTAACCATTACGCCCTTATCACCTTGCATGTTTGCATGCGCACGAGATTTCGGGCGACTTTTTTTGCAGCCTTGATCTTTTGATTTGAACGTTTTTTTTGAAAAATAGGACTGTAAGAACCACGAGTCACAACTGTTGGAATTGATGCGGCTGGATCTAACAATTATAATGCGGGTGCAATCCTAATCGATAAATATGTTTGCATTCCATAAGAGATTCCAGAACTTCCTTCCTCTCTGCGTTGGTGTGGTTTCAAACTACCCACCTAAATTATAACCAACATCTACGAAACAAACCATCCTGGAACGAATTTTTCCTTGCGTAAAAATTTTTTCTGTATCCTTTCAGTGTAAGAAGCAGATATTGTCTCAAGGAAAGAGGAAATATAATTCCTCAATCAGCTATCCTTCGAAAATTTTCCTCTTTCATCTGCTCTATCCATTGTATGCCCAATGTTGTTATTTTTGTTGGCCCAAATAAGTTGGCCCGTTACAATGTGGCCCAGCTACCCACTTGATTTGCCCTAACCCCCTCTATTCCTCTCTTCATACCCGATAGTACTCAATCCTCTCTGTCCGCCGCCCCCTCTCCATTCTGGGTCCTTCGATGCCGCCACTTGGAGTCCCATCTCCTATCCCTGTAGCTCGGCTCCTACCCCTCGATGCCCTAGTCCATCCTCCTGTGTTGGCTGCCCCCTTCTCTTATTTAAGGAGAAGGGTTGGTAGTAGCTCAGTGGTGGGAAGAAGAGGGAAAGAAGAAGAGACCTTAGGCTTTGTGCCCTAGCTTGTGTGCGATCCCCACCCTTATCTGAGCTTTGTGCTCCTGTGAGTTTGTGCTACTGTGAGCTTTATGCTCTCACCCCTTTGTGCGAATCCCCTTTCCTCTTTGTGAGTGACTTGTGTAGGATAGATCAGTGGGTTCCCCTTTGTGTTCTTGGTGGTGCACAGTTGAAGAAGAAGGACTGATTGAGCAGGCTTCTGAGCCAAACAGTGACGACGATCCTCAACAGTGGTATCAGAGACTCGCA